TGCCTCCATTAACGGCAAAGTAAACTCCTGGAAACAGAAAGTAGGACAGGGGTTGCCAGGGGGTGGGGAGGAGGGGCGGGCAGTCGAGATGGATAGGGTTTCTGTTTGGCGAGGTGAACAAGTTCTGGAGATCTGTTGCACAACGATGTGAATATTCTTTACGGTAATGAGCTGTGCACTTAGACACTCTGGGAAGGGCTGGGGAGCTGACTCGGCACAGGCGGTGCAGCTGTGCAAGCAGGGGGACCTGAGTTTGAATCCCCAGAACCCATGTTAAAAGCTAACATGGCTGTGTATGCCTGCAACCCCAGTGTTGGGGCATACAGCGCAGGCACATGCATCAAACACACAGACACACAGACACACACACACACAGACACACACATACACACACACTCAGAGTAAGCTTGATAACCTAAGACCCACAGGGTGAAAGGAGAGAACGGTCTCCTGCAAGTTGTCTTCTACCTCCACACACAGAGAGATAGGCACACAGTTAATTATTCTGTTAATTAATTTGAAAAGAAATGGTTTACACAAACCAGGAGTGGTGGTGCATGTCTATAATCTTAGCACACAGGAGGATGGAGAGTTCAAGACTAGCTTGGGCAACTCTAAATCCTGGAGATTTAGAGGGACCAAATTAGACATTGGGAGGTCTTCCAGCAGGATACTCCTCCTGCCCTGACAAGAAATGCTGGTTTTAAAAGAATTCAGTGGCATGAGTCTAAAAAGGGTGTAACAGATTGAGTGCATCACCCAGATCTTTGTTCCTCTGTAACAGAAGTAACCATGCCTTCATATGTTGGGCAGGGAGACAACTTTCTTATCTAACCTTTTCTTTAAAATTATTTTACATATGCGAGTGTTTGCTTGCATGTACATGTGTGTGCCTGGTGACCATAGAGGCCAGAAGAAGGCATCGGATCTCCTGGAACTGGAGTTATAGGGGTTGTGGACCATCATGTGGGTGCTGGGAACCAAGGCCAGAAGAAGATCAGATCTCCTGAACTAGAGTTACAGGAGGTTGTGGACCATCATGTGGGTGCTGGGAACCAAGCTCAGGTCCTCTGCAAGAGCAACTTTACTGCTGAGCAATTTTGTCAGGCTCTAGATTTTATATTCAAATCATAACAATATGATTGTTGTTTTAAGCTTTCTTTTGTAGCAAAGTATCACTCTAGCCCAGGCTGGCCTCAAAGTCAGTCCCATTCTCACCTCAGCCTCCCAAGTGCGGAGACTTCAAGAGTGAACCACTGTGCTTGCAGGTTGTATATCAGCTTGAGACAAACTAGCATTATCTGAAAGGAAGGAACCTCAGCGAATAAAATGACTGCATAAGATCTGGCTGCAGGCAAGCATATGGGGCATTTTCTTAATTAGTGACTAATGGGGGACTGCTGCGGGGTAATGCTCTTACACACTGTAAAGATTTGTCACTCGTATACGCTTAATAACACGCTGATTGGCCAGTAGCCAGGCAGGAAGTATAGGCGGGCGGCCAGACTATAAGAATTCTGGGAAGAGAAAAAGCGGACAGTCAGTCACAAGCCGGACACAGAGGAAGCAAGATGGGAATGCTTCACTGAGAAAAGGTACTTCACTGAGAAAAGTCACAGAGTTAAACATAGACAAGAATTATGGGTTAATTTAAATGTAAGTCATAGTAGCCTCATCCATAAATGGGAGCAGAGAATGGCTGCCCTGAGATGGTCTTTAGGACCTACTAAACCAAGCAAAGGACAAGTATCTGATATACGGCAGTAGGCGCTCAGAAACTGGCATCCATCACTACCGACTCAGCTATGAATGACTGTCCTTTTGTCTTTTTGGTTTTTAGTTTTAATTTTTAAAATAGGAGACAAAGGGGAACTCTAGAAACTTTTAAAAGGGACTCAGAAAATTTTGAAAGAGGCACAAAAGATGCTCAGTGGTTGATAGCGTTGGCTGCTCCTCTAGAGGACCTGGGTTCAATTCCCATTACCCATGTGGTGGCTAACAACCCTCTATCACTCCAGTTCCAGGAAATCTAATGCCCTTCTGGCCTCCACAGGCACTGAATGTATGTGGTCCACAGACGTAGAAGCAGGCAAAACACTCATTCACATAAAATAAAAATAAATTTAATTGTTTATTTTGTTTTGTTTTTGAGATGGAGTTTCTCTGTGTTGCCCGGGTTGTCCTGGAGTTATCTCTGTAAACCAGGCTGCCCTTGAACTCACAGAGATCCACCTGCCTCTGCCTCCCTTTAAGAGACAAGCCCCGCCCTCTCCCAACCCCTCCCCTTCCAATGAGGGAAGCAGATATCCTCCAGCCTGTGCTCTCTCTTTCCGGCTCTCTTCTGAAGAGGTAACTACTGTCTCTCCCTCTCTTCCCCTCTCTCTCTCTTTACCTCTCTCTCTCTGTCTCTCTTCCTCCCCCTTCTTCCCTTTCCAGTCCATAACCCACTAAATAAACTCGCCTCTCTTCATGATGTATCTGTCTGTCTTTCACTTGCCCTGGTCTCCCACCCATCAAGGTGAACCACCAAGGCCTCAGGGGACTTGCTGAGGCCTGGAGGACCTGCTGAGGCCTCAAGGTCACCTCATGGGACCGCCGCCCCTCATGGGACCGGCCTTCCCCCCTTTAAAGATATAAGAATAACACTCACCACCTCTGCTGTCAACCTGGGGTAAAGCATTTAACATATGGGCCAGTGGGAGACACACGACATCCATATTGTAATAGTTTACGTAAAATGCTGCAGGTCCCTGAATGGCAGCAGTGGGCAGTGGGCCATAAAACTATGCCGTAGTGGCTGCAGCAGGCTACGAAAGCAGCTGCGTTCCAGGCAGGAAGCCACATGGTGGAAGAGAGATCGAGACGAATAGGCACGTCATACAGAGTGAAGTTGGATAGTTAGTTAGTGGGTTATGGAAGAAAAAGAACAGAGAGAAACAAAGAAACAGAGAGGGAAGAAGTGGGGAGAAGGGAGAGACAGAAGCTGCCACTTTGAAAGAGAGACCGAAAAGGAAGAACTCAGGCTGGAAGATGAAAATCAGCTTGCCTCCATGGACTGGGGAGGGAGTGGGCGTGGCTTGTCTCTTAAAGGGACAGGACGCATATTACAGCAATAATCTCTGCTTTTGTTGTTTTCAAGACAAGGTCTCATGTAGCTCAGGCTGGCCTCAGACTTACTATGTCACTGCAGCTAGCCTTGAATTCCTGAATCCTCTGTCTTCCATCTTCCCAAAGAGGGATTACATGAATGTACCAACACATCTGATTACATGAATGTTAAACCAGTCCCGAGAAACGGGTTAGACAACAGAACCAGTAAGAAGGAAGAATAATAAGAGAGTGCAATCCTAACAGGTTACACCTGCGAAAGAGCCCATATACCTCTGAGGGCCAGGATTGCAAATGGGAAGAGTGCTGGGCACTTCCTGGATACCACATCAATCCTTTTGATTCCAACTCTGATTCTGTGGTCACTGCTGAGGGGACCAGCCTTATGCAGATGCCACTTCACCTTGGAGCTGCAGGGATCCCTGCCAATGCCATGGCCGGCAGAGAGATGACCTTCCTGGGGCAAGAAGGAAATCTGGTTCAGCATTACTCAATAGATAGTGCTGGTTCAAACTTCTAGTGTCTGACACCAGGCAGTTTATTTTATACACATTTATGTTTAGTATGTGTCGTAGCCCCATGTTGGGGTGCCATCTGTTGTAGCCATACAAGGGGCAACACCTGTCAGGGTCCATCCTCAAAGGGTTTCTATGTTCCAGGGCAGGGTAGGGGCATGTGGATTAGAGATGATAGGCAGAATAGACAGAGATACAAAAGAGATAGAGACACAGGATAGTATTGGGAGGGCAATCCAGTGAACACCACCCGTGTTTATTTCTTACAATCTTTAAATATCCTAATCCAAAAAAGGGGAAGAACGCAAAAGATTATTATCATGATACAAGGAAAAAAGTGGTTACCATCTTAATACCCCAAAACATCAAGTAACCACACCCTAAGTCAAGATATCCTATTAGTAGCCACACCTTAAATTAAATCTGTCAATAACCTTGAAGGAACAAGATCAGATCTGAACTCTCTGACCTTTAGTCAAAAGGGAGCAGATTCACTTCTGTGGGCCCCATAAGTATGATCTTGGGAGAAAGTTTCCTGGTAATAACTATCTCAATCCCACTAGGTGGGGGTGACTCACACCTTTAATCCCAGCATTTAGGAGGCAGATGCAGGTGGATCTCTGAGTTCAAGGTCAGTGTGGCCTATATAGTGAGTTCCAGAATAGTCAGAGTTATACAGAGAGACCCTGACTCAGAATGAGGCAAGGAGGGACGAGATTAGCAGTTTAGAGCATTTGCTGTTCTTGTTACCAACATGACAAAACTTGCTCTGTGAACTCAAGTGTATTACTGAGAATCTTAACACTCACGTAGTAAAGAATCTGATGTGGACACAATCTTCTCAAGCATGGCAAAACTGTAGGTTGCTCTATGCAAAGCTATGTGTAGTGGTCTGCTCTGTCCATTTAAGAGACAAGCCATGCCCACTCCCTCCTCCATCCCCCAAAGCAAGCTGATCTTCAGCTTCCAACCTGAGTCCCTTCCCTTTATTGTATCCCTCTCAAAGAGCTCTCTCTCTCTCTCTCCTTCTCCTCTTTTCTCCTTCTCCCCTTTCCCTTCCATAATCCACTAAATAAATATCCACCCTCACTCCGCATGGCGCATGGCGTGCCTATCCTCTGTCTCTAGACCACCATGTGCCTCCCTGCCTGGGACCAGCCACCTTCAGAGACCTGCAGCATGGTCTCATGGCATGCCCATCTGTCTGTCTCTCCTCGTGGGACTGGCTGCCCCATCGAGGTCTCTCATCCACCATGCGGCTCCCTACCTGGGACTTGTGGCCTACTGCAGCCACTTGGAGACCTGCAGCATTTTATTTAAACCATAACAATAGTGCCATAACTTTGCCAGGCTCTTTATGTTTCCTCCTGCCCACAGACAGGATGGCTGAGGACACATGGATCCCTGGGCTTGGGAACCAGGTTTCTTTACAACAGCTCTCCACTCCGCCTGAGCGCAATTTCTACAAACACCATCGGCTTCAATTGGTGAGTTCCCCCCACTCTGGTCAGCTTAACTGTTTCTCCAATCCCGAGGAATTGTCTGTTGAGCTCCTGGAAATCTTCTGGTGTTCTTAGAAATGGGAGGAAATCCCCCAACCACGGCCTTCATGGCTACAGTTGAGCCCTTCGCTGACATTCATCTCTGGATTGCTGAAATCATGTTTGGATGACCTGGGGTCAGTCCTCCCACAACTGGGGGTCTAGGATCCCTCAGATTTTTCTTTTTCCTTTTCTCTTTTCTTTTTTTTTCCCTGCCATGTTATTTATTTTTGTTTTCGGTTTGGTTTGGTTTGGTTTTGGGGTTAAAAGCTACTCAGAGTGACCTCTGGCTTCTCTGGCTTCCAAGTCGCCCTGACTGGATCCAGTCAGATTTTAGTACCCTACCTGTAGGCAGAGGACGCTCTCCTATAAGCCCTGTGGTGTTCACCACCAATTCATACCCTGCCTATATGGGTAGGGAGACGTCTCCCTATAGGCCTTGTGGTGTTGCCAGTTTCATTGGTTTTCACAGTTTCAGCTATAGGTAACAAGTCATCCATGTCCGTCAATCCAGCCTCCCCCTGGGATGGATGCCTTTTAGACCATTAAGACCATAGGCCTTAATGCCCTACTTCTTCAGCTCCTACCCTCACTCTGCCGGTGTCCCGCTGGCTCCACTTTTATGGGAGCTTTCTAACTACTGTCAGTGCACAGGCAAATGAAAGGAGTTTCCTCAGACTGTCCCTGCCACTGCTACTGCTGCCAACAAAATTGGTCGGCTCCATGAGGCGGCTGTTTTCAATTTCAGCCTTTTGCTCCCCACTGTGGCTTGTGGTATGGTGGCTCAGCAACAGGGCAGATCATGACTCTAGCTCTCTCTTACTATTAAACTTAAGATCCCTGCAGCTTAAAAATTGTGACTTTTCCATACAACATATAACCGCTGCCATTTTCACTGAGGTCAGGTGACCTTGCCACCATCTTAATTGAGGTCAGGTGACTTCGCTGCCATCTTGGCTGAGAGCCATGTCAGGTGACCACGTTCTGCCATCTTTCCTGAGGTATCCCCTGTCTGTTTCCCCAGTGCTGACTCTGTTGCATGTGTGTTTTATGCAGTGGCATGCCTTTGGTAGGGCCAACCAAGAGCATCCACTACACCCAAGTCCTGCTCACTCTGTGTGTGTGTTCATACATGTAACTTAAATGTACCTATGCTTACTATTAAATGTTATAATTGTCTGTTCACTGTATCTCATTCCAGACTACAAAGCAATAAGTTTCATGTTAAGAGCCAGTACAGTATGTTGATAGGTGTTCAGTATATTAAGTAGAGAAATGCCTGGGCTTCTGTAGAAGGAAAGGGTAACAGAATAATTTCTGTATGTAGTCAGATTTTTCTTTGTGCCGCCAACTCACAATAATGACACGGAGACTTACCATTAATTATGAAAGCTTAGCCTTAGCTTAGGCTTGTCCCACCAGCTCCTGTAACTTAAATTAACCCATTTATTTTAATCTGCATTTTGTCACATGGTTTATTACCTTGTCTCTTCATACTGCCTATGCTGTTTCTTCAGCATCTGGCTGGCAACTCTGTCTCTCTTCTTCCCAGCGTCCTCTCTGTGCCTGGAAGTGCCACCTATACCCCTGCCTAGCTATTGGCCATTTCACTCTTTATTAAACCAATCAGAAGGTGCCTTGGCAAAGACACATCTTTGCAGTGTGCAAAAAGATTATTCCATAACGACTGAATAAGCTTTAGATATTAATCTGGCTGCAGATGCAAAAGTTAACCTAGGACGCACAGGTACAAAACCAAGGAGGTTGGCAGAGACCATCTCCTGTTCCCAGCCAGGTTCTGGTCTCACTCTTCTCCAAGATAGAACAGGCAGATGTGAAGAGTACAACGGTCAGCTCAAAATTAACCCAAGAACCTGGATAGCTCTGAGCTGGAGTTCAAAGCTCCAGAAAGCACTGGGTGCCAACAAGAGCCATCACTTGCAGAGCAAGTCCGCAGGTCTGAGAACTGTTAGTTTTTGCAGTTTCTGGAGCAGGTCTCTGACGTGAGGTGATGAGTGGTCTTCACATCTGGAGGCTGGAAACTGCCTCAGGAAGGAATTCCTGTCATCAACCAAGGCATGGCATCTTGAAGGATGGGGCAGGAATGAGATCCCACTACAAATCCTGAGGCAGATGATTTCCTGTATTGAATTCTCAGGATACCTGTGTACCCGCCCCCACAAAAGCTCAGACTTTATAGGATGCCATCTGATGCAAGCTGGACCCAACTGGATGCGCAAATAGCATGAAAGCCAAGACCATGACTGAGAGAAGAACAGTCAAACCTGGCAGGGGCTGAGGAGAATTTTAAGCCCACCAAAAATAGCTAAAGAATAGTAGAGTGTGGTGGTATGCCTTTAATCCCAACACTCCAGAAGCAGAGGCAGGCGATCTCTGTGAGTTTGAGGCCAGCCTGGTCTACAGAATGAGTTCTAGGACAGTCAGGGCTACACAGAGAAACCCTATCTGGAAACAAACAAAAGAAACAAACAATGAAGTAGGTAAAAGCTTATAGTCAGGTCTCAGGTCTGTTTCTTCCAATACTTAATTTATTAAAATGTTTTAGCAGTTCCCTGCGAGCTGCCTGCCACTTCCCTGCTTCACTCCTTGTGTCTGTGTCAGCAATTGCACTAGCAGTGATGAGGGCTGCTTTCAGGGCCAGAGCCTGTCAGTGGCCAGAAAGCTCTGTGCTGATGGGAGGGGAAGTCATATAAAATGATCTGTGGCGGGAATGTGCAGTTCCTCATGTGACTTGGACCAACTTTCAACGTGACAGTTATGAAGACATATAGTTCTCCGGGACACACAGTTCTCCAACACACATTCTTCCTCCTCCTGTTGCTCCTGAGACTCCCTCTGAACACCAGCACGGATCAGGAAATACCTCAGGAAGGGACAAAAGTGGCTTCAATTCTAGGAGTGGATAGTAGGTCGTGACCTTGAGGCCACTAAGGTGGAGCTGACTCAAACAAAGTGGATTCTCTACTGGACAGTCTGGAAAAACTGAGAGAGAACAAAGCACACATCAGAGACAGAGAAAGACGGGTCAGAAGAGCTGTTGTGTAGCTCTGTCCTCTAAGGTGCAGCTACAGAGCAAAGCGTGGTAAGACGCAGGGCGTTCTGACGGGTGATGAGACCTTCCACCCGGCAGGGAAGCCCATTGAGCACACTGAACAGCTCACAAAAGCTTCAGGAAGTCCCTGAAATGGACTGCGTTCACTAAACCCCTCCCTCTTCAAACATTTAGGAAACTGTAAGGACCGCTAAGAGACTCCCAGACCAGTGGAACTGCTTGGAAGAAGCTAATACTGACTGTGCCGTCTGGAAAGGCCACTCTCCAACCTGTTGAGCTGCCTGCAGGCTGTGCAGCAGGCTCCAGATTTCCCAGCTTTTGTGAGCTGTCACCCGTGCTGGGGCAGGCTTTGGTGATGTAGCAGTCTTAGGATCATCTCTGCTCCTGTAACCCTTTACCCGTATTCCTGTAGGTAACCTCAGTAGAACGCATGGTTCACCAAACCGGACTAGGGTGGTGTCCTTGCTTCAGTCCATTGTTGATTCCCTACCTGGGGTGAGTCTCCCCAGAATAGTGTCACTCATGAGCAGAGAAGCACTGTGTGGAGAAGGAGGAAACTGATGTGGGCAGATCTGAAGCAGATACAGACGATGACTGTCCTCGGCAAAGAGACTAGCTGCATGAGGACAATGAGAAGGGTGTGACCAGCTGTACTGATCAAAGACGGCAGAAAAGGGACTGAGGACGCCCTCTTCTGGGCACCGGGCGTGCACATGTTTTACATACATACAGGGAAAACACCATTCACATAAAATAATAAAGTTTTAATTAAAACGAAATCCTACCCCATAATTTCTTTATCTAGGTACTGTCAGAAATCAAAATGACAGTCAGGTCCTCTTCCAAGTATCTTCAGGGCATTCTCACGCCTCCTGCCCTTCCCGCATTCATTAATTCAAAACTGCCTTCATCTGGCTCCATTCACTTCCTTTGATGATCCTTAATGTTAAATCTTACTCTGCAAATTTTGCCTTTAGTTATTAATTTAATTTTGACTCAACAATAAAATGATATATGATTTAGAAATTGGATACATTTTTCAAAAACAATGAGAGTGAATTCTTACTTTTTTTTTTCTTTTTGAAAAGAGGTCTCACTATGCAACCGTGGCTGGCCTGCTTCTTCTCTGTGTAGATCAGGCTGGTCTCAAGCTCTCTGAGTGATCTACCTTCCTCCTCAGTGCTCAGACTAGAGGCATGTGCCGCCATGCCTAGCATATTCTTACATTTTATGTTGTTTCCAAATGTACGTTGAATAGAGTTGTGCTGGGGACCGTGGACCCCCCAGACCCTGAATTTCCAGTGAACAACTTGTTATGCTTGCAGCTGCTCTGAGCACGAGACAGGGGAGTGGTTTCTGGTGGCTTGCAGCTGAAGGATCCTGAGAGTCAGCGTGTGGCCATTGGTCAGGGACGGCACTGTGAACACAATAAAGTTAGCATTCTTGGGGAATTCAAGGATGACCCGTGTCTCTGTCTCTGTGTGTTATGTGTGTGTGTTTCAATCTCCAGACCCTTGCCCAGCTTGTGAACCATGCCATAATGCGTAGAGCGTAAAGAGACAGAGCGTTACAGAGTTGGACTTTCTCTCACCTGAAGCTTTTGTCATTCTTGGCACAATATCCTTTTTGTTTTTATTTTCTGAGACAGGGTCTCTCTGTGAAACAGCCTTGGCTGTCCTGGAATGCAATCAGTAGACCACGTCTTGAACTCACAGATCCTCAGGGGTTAAAGGAGTGTGCTACCACTGCCTGGCTGACATGACATCTTATTCTCTGCTCTTTTCCAGCTTGACAATGTGGTTCATTCATTTATCTGTCATGTCCAACTGAATGTCGTGATCACAGGATAGACAGGTTCAATCTACATGACGTGCTCCACTGATAATGACAATCCTGCACAGACCATTCACATGTGATACAGTAACCATCTCTGCCACAGCTATGATCCCAAGAAATCTCTGTCTGCTGGCACCACTTAGAATTCCTAGAGGGAAACCCTCCTTTGTCCCCACTGGTGATGTGCACCTTGCTACCTCAGGCTTCCTGATGGCTGTCCTGGAAATGTGGGCAAAAAAACGTTTCTGTTACAAGCCACCTTCTCCTGTCTCCTCCGGTCACCTCACCAAATCCTTCTATCCAGGCCTCCTCTACATCCTGGCTCATGGCCAGAAGACCCGACTAGAAATCATGTTCATGTTTGCTGGGGTCTCAAGATAACCAAAGCCAAACAGCACACCGAGAAGCATCTATTTCTGGAAAACTAGAACTTGGCATCAGAGATCAAAGCCTGGCAAGGTGCAAACTCCTCACTCCATCACCTTCCACATTGCCACTGGCAATGATAGTCCTGCCAGAGGGAGGTTACCGGGGAAACACAGAAGTGCATCCACAAAAGGGGACTTGACTTGAACTGGGGTGAAAGTTGACAATTAAGTCAGCAACAAAATCAATAAACGGTGGAAATGACCTGGAGTTTTGCTAGTCCAGTGGAGGTGAGCAGCAGACCAGATAGAAGGTCAGTGAGAGCCATGGAAAGGCTCTCTTCCCTCTGCAGGCCTGGCTGTCTGGAGAAGCACACACACAGAAAGGGGAGATCCATAAAATCTCCACCCCGGAGAACATGACAGTTCAGGCAAGCTTGACTAAATTCCACAGCTCACATACAGATCAGTTTGCTAAGAGTGAATATCTTACAAGTTCAAGGTATTTGAAAACATCCTCTGCCCAAAGGATTGGCTGACCACTGAGCTATGGAGATAAGGGGGAGTCCCCAGGAAGTAAGGGTTAAAAATGAAACCAAGAAAGGAAACCAGGCAACAGGGCCACACCTCCTAATGGTGCCACTCCCTATAAGTCTATGGGGGTCATTTTCAATCAAACTACCACATATAGTTTCTTTTTTGTTTTTTTGTTTGGGTTGGGAGTGCTTGTTATTGTTGGGACAGGCTCTCATGTTGCCTAGGCGGGCTTTGAGGCTTCAGATGCTCAAACCAGACCCAGTGTCATTCTTTCTTCCTGCTGCCTGCAGATCCAGATATAGACTCTCAGCTCCTTCTCCAGCACCGTGTCTGTCTGCATGCCACCATGCTTCCTGCCCTGATAACAATGAGCTAAACCTCTGAACTGTAAGCCAGCCCCAATTAAATGTTTTCTTTTATAAGAGTTGTCATGGTCGTAGTGTCTTCACAGCAATAAAAGTTCCAACTAAGAAACAATAGAAAAAACTCATATCTCAGGTTTCCACATAATATTATAAAAATGAGGTATACAAAGAAATAAGAAAGCATGGCTCACACAGAGAAAAAAGGAATTGCTAGAAACTGACTGATTGGGTGTGGGTGTTGGATTTAACTAACAACAACAACAACAACAACAAAAAAAAACCCTAAAGCTGCTATTGTATAGCTGTTCAAAGAATTAGAGGAAAGTATGAAGACAATAATTTAACATATAGAAACTCAGAAGAAACATAGAAACTTAAATGGAAAATCTAAAGTTTAAGAACACAACAGTTGGGACTGGAGAAATCGCTCAGCGGTTAAGAGCACTGACTGCTCTTCCAGAGGACCAGGGTTCAATTCCCAGCACCCACATGGCAGCTCACAATTGTCTGAAAATCCAGTTCCAGGGGATCTGACACCTTCACACCAATGCACATAAAATAAAAAGATAAATGAAAAAAAAAAGAACACAACAGTTGAAAATGTAAGATTCACTGTAAAGAATAAACCAAATATTTACAATAGCAGAACAAAACAATAAACTTGAAAAAATTAATAAAAATAATCCAGTCTTAAGAACTCAGAGGGGAAAAAATATTGGAGATCTAGGAAGAGTGTTAGAGATCCATGGGCTCGCCCCCCGAATACTCATATACACATAACAGAGCGCTCCAAAGAGGGACAGGCAGCACCAGCTTGTGTGCACTGCTCTTGCAGAGGACCTGGATTCAGCACCCTTGTCAGAAGACTTACAACTGTTTGTAACTCCATCTCCAAGAGATCTGATGTCTTCTTTGGCCTCCAAGGGCACTGTACTCATAAGCACAAACCCACATGCATATACATATAGTTAAAAATAAAAATAAGGGGCCTGAAGAGGTAGCTCAGTGGTTAAGAGCACTGACTGCTCTTCCAGAGGAGCCAGGTTCAATTCCCAAGACCTACAAGGCAGCTCACAACCATGGCGCCTCCAGTTCCAGGGGGATCTGATGCCCTCTTCTGGCTTCCATAGGCACTAGCTATGCAAGTGACACACTGTATCCACACATGAAACACCCATATACATAAAATTAAGTAGAAATTAATTACTTAATTAATTAAAGAAGTTGAAGAGATGGCTCAGCAGTTAAGAGCACTGACTGGCCTCGTGTGGTAGCACAGGCCTTTAATCGTAGCACTTGGGAGACAGAGGCAGGTGGATCTCTGTGAGTTCCAGGACAACAAGGGCTATAGACAGAGATCCTGTCTCAAACAAAAAAATAAACAAACAAACAACAACAATGACTGTTCTTCAGGACCCAGGTTCGATTCTCTACACTCATATGGTTATGTGCGCCCTAAACTCCTAGGACCTCTGTGGGTACCACGCACAAACATGGTGAGCAGACATCTGTACCAGACTTTTTCTTTTGGGCCACCAATAAGCTGCCAAAGCATGACATGGAGGCTTATTAATAGTTTTGAATGCTCAGCGTACCTGAGGCATGTTTCTGGCTAGCTCTTTTAACTTAAATTAACCTGTTTCTCTTTGTCTACCTTTTGCCGCGGGGCTTATTACCTTTCCTAACTTCTGTATATCTTACCTTCACTGCTTCTCCTGTCTGCTGGCTGGCGTCTTCCTGCCCCAGGCAGGTTCCTCATTCTCTCCTCTTTTTTTTTTTCTTGTTCTTCCCTCTTCTTGAGCCTAGATTGTTCCTCCTATTTATTCTCTCTCCCTGCCAGTCTTGCCTATCCTTTCTCCTGCATAGCTATTGTCCATTCAGCTCTTAACTAGACTAATCAGGTTCCTTAGACAGGCAATATGAAACAAACGCAGCACATCTTTACATATTAAACAAATGCAACGTAAACAAAAGTAGCACATCTTTATACAGTTAAAGAAATATTCCACAGCAAAAACAAATGTAACACATCTTTGCCTAGTTAAAATAATATTCTACAACAGACATACACTCAGGTAAAAACTCACAGACATGAAATAAAAATATTTAAAATAAATAAATACTTTAAAAAAATTGTACCACTTAACATTTAAATATGTTTACTTATTTGATTTTGAAAAGAGTGTCTCCTTATGTTGTCTAGGCTGACCTTGAGATCCTCCTGCCTCAATCTCCTTTATATTGAACCACAATGTCCAGCCATTTTAACCATTTAGGTGTATAATCTGTGTCAGTAAATACATTCCCCCTATTGTGTAACCACCCTCATCATCCATCTCCAGAATTTTTTCACCTTTTCCAGATGAAACTATATGCCCATCAAATGCTACATCACTGTCTTCCCCCAGACTCTGGCAACCATTCTTTCTTATTCTTTTACTTTGTGTGTGAATTTATTGACTGCAAGTATGTCTGTGCACCACAGGCATATACTGAGGAGATTACATGGGGGTGTTGTAATCCCTAGAACTGGAGTTACAGATATCTAGAGCCACCATGTGGGTGCTGGGACTTGAACTCTTGTGCTTTGGAAGAACAGCCAGTGCTTTTAGCTGCTAAGCCATCTCTCCATTCTTTATGTCTGTGAATATGATTACTATAGGAGGTTCAGATAGATAATTGGAATCCGTAGTGTATTTGCCCTTATTTCATGTGTGTTAAAGCACATAGACATATACAAAGCAATAATCATACCAAGGTACTGTTAGGTTTATACAAACACATGAAAAACAATAACACAAAATGGGAGAGAGGGAAGAAGGTAAAATCGCTAGAATTTTACATAGATTAAGTTAGTATAAAGCAGAGTGTAGTTGGTGTGGTAGGGTAAGCCAGCAATGCCAGCGCTTGGGAGGTGAATGGAGCAGGAACAGCAATTTAAGACTAGCCTTGGCTCCAGAGCAAGTTTAAGGCCAGCCTGGGCTTCCTGAGATTCCATCTCTAAATGGATAAACGGATGAATGAATGAATAAAAGTAGATAATGATGTTCATGGGTGTTTTAATTCTTAACTGATTAGAAAAACTTTTGCGGGGAATGGGGGAACACAAGGTGTTATTATATATAGCCCTGGCTGACCTGGAACTTTGTATGTAGACCAGGCTGGCATTGAACTCACAGAGATGCACCTCCTTCTGCCTCCCAAGTGATGAAATTAAAGGAGCACACACAATGCCCTGTTGAGAAAACAACCTTTAAAATATGTTTGTAAAGGCTGTTTGTGGCTAGGTGGTGGTGGCTCACACCTTTAATCCCAGCACTTGGGAAGCAGAGACAGGCGGAAACCCTGTCTCGAACAAAACCAGAATAAAAGCTGTTTGTGGTGGCTCATGCCTGTAACCCCAGCATTCGGGAGCTGAAGGCCAGCCTCTGCCTCACAGTGAGTTCAAGCCTAGCCTGGGCTGCATAAGATCCTGTCTCAATGCCCCACATCCAAAAAAGTCTTTAAAAATCAAGAGAAACAAGCATGATGGTGCACTCTTGTAATCCCAGCACTCAGAGAGTAGAGACAGGAAGGTCAGGGGTTCAAGGCCAGACCCAGCTACACAGTAACCTCAGCTCACAAACAAATATCAACAGAGGAATTAAGATAGTACACAAAAATATATTTAACACAAGAGAACAAAGTAAGGAAGGATGGAGGCACAAAAGACACGAGACAGAAAGAAGCACAAAAATAAATCGACACAAATCAAAGTGTATGGATACAACATTAAATATGAACAGTATCAGAACTCCAATCAAATGACTGGGTAAGGAAACACAGTGCTACTACATGTGGCCGCCAAGGGCACAGTTTTAGTTCCGCCTTCCATCTCCCTGGTGCTGGGATTATAGGTGAGAACCACTCTGCCCAGTTATATTTCCTGATTTTAAATTTTTCTAGCAAGAGATAGTAATCAAGATATTTCAGTCTTGGCACAGAAAATAGACATATATAGAAATAATAAGTAGAATTGATAGTCCAAAGAAACCGCACACATATGCTTTCAACAAGGATGCCAAGAGCATCCAGTTGGGAAATCATCTTCTTTCAATAAATGATTCTGGGACAGCTGCTTATTTATCTGCTAAAAGATGAAGTCGAATCATTTCCTTGCACCATATTCCAGGATTAACCTAAAATGGGTCAAGGATCTAATTGTAATAATTAATGATAAATTTTTCTTTTAATTTTCTTATTTCCTATTTATGTGTACATGTGTGTATCTTTATGAGTTTATGTGTACCATATGTGTGCAAGAGGCCAAAAGGATCCAGAGTCCTCAAACTGCAGTTTTAGGCAATTGTGAACAGTGCCATGTGAACAGTCCTCCGCAAGCACACTACATATTCCCAACCACGGGGCCATCTCTTCAGCCCCGGCATAACTTTAAAAAAAAAAAGATTGGTTTTATTTTTAATTGTATGTGTGTGTGTCTATGTGGGGGGTATTGTGAGTATTGTGTATTGTGTGTATTGTGAGTGCAGGAACCCATAGAGGCCAGGAGAGTGTGTAAGATTCCCGGAACTAGGGGTACTATGGTTATGACGCACCAAACTCAGGTCGCTGGGAACAGCAGCCAGCTCTCTTGCCTCTAAGCTATTTCCCAACCACCAATAGTACAAATTATTAGAAAAAATGCAATCTCTCATAATATTGAATTTTACAAAGGATTCTTAGATATAACACTAAAAATAGAAGAAAAATAGCTAAACTTAATTTCAACAAAGTTAAAAACTTTTTTTTTTGCTTCAAAAGCACTATATTGAAACTGAGCACTATGGTACACATACAGTTCTATAATCATAGCACTCTGGAGGTGGAGGCAGAAGGATTAAAAATTCAAGATCGTCCTCCACCACACAGAAAGTTCAAGGCTAACCTGGGCTATGTGAGACCAGGTCTCAAGACAAAATAAACAACACAAGGGCACTGTTTTGGAATTCCTAGAGTCAGAGCA